GAGCGCACCTTCGCGCAGTGGCAGGCCGCGGGCATGCTCCTCCTCACCGTCGGCATCGCTGTCACCAAGCTCGAGGATTCATTCGACACCGACCAGCTCGGCGGCATGACCGTCATCGGCTGCTCGCTTGTGATTATGCTGTACGGCCTCGTCTCTTTCCTGCACCGGCTCAAAAAGATTAAGCGCAAGGACCCGACCGGGTATGACGACCCGCTCGGCCCCGTCGCGCTCATCTTCGTCCTCTTCGCCGCAGTTGCCCTGTACCTCCGCCGCATGTACGGCTTCAATTGGGACACTGAAGGCATGCTCACGGCCGACACGCCCTTCTTCGAGGCCTTCAAGGTGCCGCTTACCCCCCCCCCCCCCCTCCCTTTCTCGTCTTCTCTTCACAGCTGCTGCGTCTGTGAGCAGGTCCCCCTTGCCCCATCGCACTTTGCGGACGAGGCGGCCGCCGTCCAGGTGGTGGCGAGGGCGCTGCAGGCTTCGGCCGCCGTCGCGTCGGTCACACCCCTTTCGCATGAGACAGCTTCCGAGTCCTGCCACTCACGAGTCATGGTTGTAGTGATTGGGGCCGGCATAGGTCACTCTCGCAAACGCGACCTTTGAGCTCCTGCGCCGCACGCACCTCGACACGCACCACGCGACTCCTCTCCACTCCTTCCGAGAGATTTTCAACGCCAGCGGCACGGCGGTCACGCTCACCACGCTGCTGACGGCCGCGGGAGCGCGCCGCAAGAGCCGCAGCTTTGGCTCCGGGAGCGGCAAGGGGACGCTGACAGGCCTGGCGATGAGCATCCGCGGTGGCGACTTTGCGGAGCTCGCCTCCACCGCCGCAAACTGCGTTGGACGGTCGCGGCGCAACGGCGCGAAATCACATCTGAAATGACTCAAGGTGGTACAGTGGACACCAGTTGCGTATCTAGGTACGCGGCGCACTGCGACGTCAGGATCGTGCGGACCTCGCACGCGATGGCGAGGGAGCTCACGGTCACGCGCGTGCCGCACACGGCGTCGGTCACGTCGGTCCGCGGCGGCCTGAATGTGGGCACTCCATGGAGTGAGTACGTCTCATCAGCGTCATGCTCGAATGAGTAGGCTGCCGACTTGGGCTTCGTCCGACACGTCAAGCATCATCACGCCCCATTCCAGTCATCTGATCCTGAGTAGGTTGGCGATCAAACTATGTATATATACTTTTGTCTCTGGTGATGCCGCCTTTCCCTGAGAACGCACACAACGCCTCGTGTGTAATGCCCTGTGTTCCGCGAGTGCGCGTGCCCCGTCGTCCATGCTAGGACGTGTGTAACACTGACTGACTGACTGTAGGTTGGCGATCTACGCGGGTACTTTGCCCTGCCGCGCGACGTGGGCGGCAGTATGCGCGCCGCGCCCTTTCTGACCGCGCGGTGCCGCCCCCTTCAACCAGTGTCATCCACAAACCTCTGGGTTCGATTCTCAGCCCGCCCGACGCCACTGCCCTAGGTGGTCACCGCTCCTGCCCGCCCGCCCCTCCTGCTCGGACGGCGAGCGGTTGTACGTGGTGGGCGAGCACTACTATTGGAGGGTGCGGCCCACAGTCCATGTTCACATCACCGCGCATTGCGCGCGGCGCGCCTCGCCTGTTTCAATGCGTCGACCTGGCCTTAGGTGCGGCTCCCGTTCTCTCTCGCGGCGGCGCCGGAGTCTCGCCTCGTCGCGTCGCTTACCACACGGTATGACACGCCGCAGCTGGCGGTGCGGCCGGACCGGGCGCCGCGCGAGGACTCGGAGCTGTCCTTCCGGCTCGCCAGCCAGGCTCGCGCGTCATGGATCACGAATAGTAGTCGGTGTGATGAACGCATCGCCCGCCCCTCCTCTTCATCGGACGCCGCCCGCCCTCGTCATCGCCGCGCCCCTCCTCAAGCCAGGGCCCCCGGCCTCGAGCTTAGAGCCATAGCGGACCGGCGACCCCCTCCCAACCTTCTCGGAACCTTCTCGGAACCCTCCCGCAGGCTCCCGACGTCACGCCCGAGGGCGGCGACCTCGCCGGCCCCTCCCTCCTCGCCGCGCGTGCGCTCTACAGCGAGCTGCGCAGCGCGCCTTGGGCAGCACCGTAAGGAGTGTGTGAGCGCTCAGCGGACAGGCGCGGTGATTTATTTTCCTCACCTGGCCCTGGCGCGCTGGCCACGACCCTGCCACGTGGTTCGGTCTACGGCCACGAGCGTGTCTCTAGACTTCCTTGTGGCACGTCCACTTCGCACTTGACACTCTAAGATGCCCTCTGTAACACTATAAGAGATCTCAAACTGCTGCACACTGCATGGGAAAAATCAACAGTCACAACAGTGGTCCGTGACCGTGTGCACATTTAAATCATTTTGGGGGCAAGAACAACACTTATGCCCCGTCGCAGCGCACCGCCGACGCGCGACGGCCGGCGGAGGTACAGCAGCACAGCGTAGCGAAGCGCTAGCTATGCAAGGGACCGCGGCCGCGGAACCGGCGGCGGACGGGGCTGGTGCGCAAGCGCCGGCCACCGTCGTGCTGCAGGCCTGCACCGGGGGTGCGCAGCGGACCCTGGAATAGCTACGATCGCGCGCAACTGGAAGACGCGGTGATGGTCGCAAGGCTCGCAGGTGCGTCGCAGGTCAGGCTGATAAGGCCTGGCTACGCGACCATCGAGGTCGACCTGAAGCACGAGAAGGCCGCGGGCGACCGCGAGTCTGTGCAGGCGGCGGAGCGCTCGTTCATCGAGCGCACCGCGCCGCGGAAGAAGGAGGAGCTGACGGAGGAGCAGAAGGATGCTCGGGCCGCGGCTCGCAGGGCCAAAAAGGCCCGGCAGAAGGCGAACAGGGCGAAGAAGAAGGCTGCGGCGGCGGCTGCGAGCGAGGCCGAGCGTGCGGGCTACCCGTACGCGCAGCTGCGCGAGAACGCCATGTTCGTGATGGAGGGCCTGGAGGCTGCGACGCAGGCGGCGCGCATCCCCACCGGGTCCAACATTCAGGTCGCCTACGCGCTGCCTCCAGAGGGGGGCAGCGGGTTCGGCGACATGGTGTACGCCACGGTCCCTATGGGCTCCGTGGCGACGAAGGTCGCCCGGGACTGGCTCGCCAACGAGCTCTACGAGCCGTCCCGGCGAGGCAAAATTGATGCGGCCTGCAGGGACCGAAAGGTTGCCGACCTGATCACGGCTGCCGGCGCCTCGGCGCCGGCCGACGCCGTGTTCGGCGGCAGGTTCGCGACGGGCGAGACGCCCCGCCCGACGACCTCCGCCTCCGAGGCGGACGAGGGCGACGGCGGCGATGGCGGGGCCGAGAACATGTCCTTTGACTTATTCTAGGTCCCCACCCCTGGCCTCACCCATATCTTACCTTCTGCCCCCCCCTCCTGCGACCCCCCAGGCTAGATGGAGTAGTCAGATGTAGACTTTGCCCCACACAGCCCCTTACCCCTTCACCCTCGCCTCGCTGCTTGGTGTTTCTGAACACGTAGTCGTCCACGCTGTGGGGGTTTGTGCGGGTCCTGTGTCTACCTTTCTGAGCGCTGTGGTCGCCGCAGACTGGCTCCGACTTGACGGGCGCATGGAGACGCGATGCCTCCATGCGCCCGTCGCGTCGAAATCGACTTGCAGCTCGATGGTTTGCCGAAAAGGTACATAGCGGCGTTTTGGGCGACAACAGCGCTGCGACCGCGAAGTGGCGGTGGACATGCTCCCACGGTGCCGACGCGGCGCCGGAGTGGCCCGCGCTGCTCGCCGCGACCACGACGGCTACTCCGCTGCTCCGGGCCGACCCGTCCTACCCGACGGTGGCACTCTTCCACGTCTCGCTCACGCTGAGAAAAATTCTGAAACGGCGTGCAGCATAGTCGCCGACGAGTCGGTCCGCGTGCCTCCCCGTGTCGCGCATCGTTCTCACCCATCCATAAACTCACTTTGGCCTCACTAAAGCGATGCCTCAATCCTGAATCCTCAGATTTTAGATTAGGACGCTGTGGGCCCTCTATCGGTGCACATTGAACCGCCACGGCCGCGGCGTCGACCGTCCGAGCGTCGTGGGTGTTGGACTGTTGCAGGGGAGCGGGAGGCCTAGCTTGTGGCACTTGACACTTTTAAACACGTTACTAGAGCCGTACACGTAGAGCCGTACACGCCAGCTGCTCCTGCCCGTGTCCCGGGCGTGGAGATGCGAGGGTCGCCCCCCCTTGGCTGATTCTCACGCGTTGTCCGACACCCACGGCGCGCTGCGCAGCTCTCTGTAGAGGTCGTGCGCCGCGAGGGAGAGGGCGCCGTCCGAGTTGAGGTCGCTCACCTGAGGGGTTAGCAAGCAAGGTGAGGCGCGAGCTCCTCCACACACGCTTTTGTGGGGGCTCACAGGCTGAGCCGCCCTCGCTCACCTCGACGCCGTGGTTCTGGTTGCCTCCAATCTTGAAGGAGAGCTCGGAGTCTTCCCGCGGCGTCTGCAGCGGCAGCACCGCCAGCTGCGGCGACTCGTACTTTGTGGTGAGCGACGCGTAGAGGTAGACGGACGGCGCTTGCGCGAGCGCAAACGGCAGCTTGACCTGACGGGCACACAAGGCAGGGACGGGAAGTCTGGCTCGAAAGTCTGGCGGCGCCACACGCGCCACACGCGGGCGTGCAAGGCTACCCCCGCGTGCGCTGTGCTGCTGCTTCACCTTCCAGTAGTAAAACTCGTCGCGCACGTAGAGGCGCTCCTCGTCCTCCGTGCCGAGCAGGAAGGGCCCCGCCGGCACACGAGGCGGTAACGCGAAGTACCCCCTCAGGTCGCCTAGATCAGAAACACACCCGGAGATGCGCGTCTGTTTCTGGGCCCCCCGCACACCACACCCGCGAAGGTGGTCGCCGATCGTGGTGAGCGAGGTCGTGTGCGGCATGCCCGAGATCTTGACCGAGCGCTGCCAGCTGGTGGCGGGCAGCGGCACGCGCGGCGAGCGCGGCTGGCCAACCTCCGCCTTCTCCATGTGGAAGTTCTGCTCCACCTTGACCTCGCAGTGCGCCGCGTACCGTCCGACGCAGTTGGCGGCGGTGGCGGCGAGCTGCGCGCGCTCGGTGCCCTTGACGGAGAGAGTGAGGTCCGTGCTGCCCGTGCCCGGCGCCGAGCCGAGGTTGGCGCTCATGTAGCGCGCGCCCTTGAGGGTTAGGCGCGTGGTCAGCTTCACCTTGGAGCGGCCCTGGTTGACGACGAGGTCCTCCGCCGTGTCGAGCTCCGTCTGGCGAAAGAGCTCGAAGGTGGCGTGGGCGAGTGTGACTGACGAGACCGACGCCGAGGCCTGCATCGCCCTCGCAACCATCGCGATGGCGGCGGTCTCGTTGACGAAGTACGACGGCATCACCCCCATCTCAAACTCCTTGGAGAAGGGCGTGTCGGCCGTGTGCACCTAAGGTCAGCTCACGGAAACTTCTCCACGCGTGCACAAGGGGGCGGGGCAAGGGGGGGCAGGCAGTCCTCGCGACTCCACGTCTAAGCGACGGGAGCCGGCCCGGCACTCAAAGTGCGAGGGGCCCGGTGCGCGTGGGTGAGCGGTGTGAGCGGTGTGAGCGGTCTGTGCGCACCTCCTCGCCCGGCCACTTGAAGGTATACATCCGGAGGAGGTAGGTTCCGACTGCGCCGCAGAGGACGATGACGAGTAGAACGGGGCCGACTGGGTCGTCGTAGCCCAGCGGGTCCTTGCGCTTGATCTTCTTGAGGCGGAGGAGGAAGGTGAGGAGGCCGTACAGCATCAGCAGCAGCGCCGAGCACCTATCCACTTATGGATGATGAGTCACGAAT